ACATCTTTACCTGTGCTTCATAACACCACTGGTTCACCAAAGAAGGCATATTTTCGCCAACAACTGCAAAACCCTTTTTAGGGTTAAAATTCGACCTCCAGGGTCATTGATATTTTTCAAGAAAAAAAGTATTCAATTAACCCAATTATGAAAAATACGTGGCTTCGGTGGGAGTCGAACCCATACAGCAGGGAAGGATTTTGCACAGCCAACGCTCTACCATTGAGCTACGAGGCTCACCGTGAACCGGGAATTTAATTAGACTTGGGTCGATTAACCTGCCGCCAGGCCGCGAATGTTTAACAATTTGGTCAACTTAATTATTCAAATCTGCAAAGCCCTCCTAATAACTAAGTGAGCCTAGCAGTCACCCCGTTGGCTTCCAGATGACTGCTTAGGAAATCCTGTCGAGGCAGTCAGCTTATGCTATCCGTAATGGTGGATTCCATACGAGCAGTAGGTTGGGCGGGTAAATCGGTGCTTCTGCGTGCGTAGTCTGCCTGGCATATAACGAGAGCCAGCAGTTAGAATATTCCCTCCCCCTGAAGATGGATAGACGAGATAATTATCCGAAACACCAGATACAAAAATAAACCTCTCCCCGTTAACGCCCTTTCTCCTTCTGACTTACCACCTGGAAATCGGATCTTCAGTACTATTAATGCTATTTGATACGCAGTCTACCGGGCGCTAATGGAATCTGACGAAATATAGGAAATGGTTCGGTCTGGCTAACACATTGATTTGAGGAGTTGGTAAATGAGGGAAAAATCAATCTATGCGAGATGTCACAGCATGGAGGATGCATTGTTGTAGTCCAGCGCCCGGAAAAACGTATTTTCTTCCGCACAGAAGAAAAAGACGCGACCACTGGGTCGGTAGTGATCCAGTGATCGCGTCTTCTTCTGTAAAACAAGACGCTTAGGCATGCATGTTTGCCTTTATTCGTATTTTCTTCCATCTCCCATTATCCTGGTTGATCTTACAATTTCTACGAATGGTGAGCTGGAGCTGGAGAAAACGTCTTAAATATAACCAAAAAAATAAAAAGGACTGGTTTCTGTCCCTGATGAAGCATCCATGACGGATTTCGAAGCTTGAGGCGAATAAAAGTCTTCTTCCAG